ATGGAGGCATCTCTGTGGTAGACTGAAACAATACCTGTAATAACAACATCTGAAGCAATAGCATCGGGTCTGCCTGGAAGGGCATAAAAATGGGCCTGACCACCCCCTGATCGACCTCCCCCTCTGGCGCGACCCCTGGCCGACTGACCTCCACCCCTAGCTGGATGGGAGGGTGGTGGTGAAACAACTAGCGCTAAAGCCGATGACTGATCCCTCTGCTGGGATGAACTAGCAAAACGACGAGGGCACTGCCTCCACATGTGACCCATCTCTCCACACTCATAACAACTCCCAGGTGCTGGAGAAGGGGACTGAAGGGAACCCCTCGCACCGGTATGACTAGTTGACGCCCATGGCGCAGAAGAATCCTGAACCGATGGAGAACGGGACGAACCCTGAGCTGGAAGTGCACTAAGTGAAGAATAGCCCTGCTGAGAACAGTGAGAACTATGGCCTGATGATGCCCCACGATAACCTGGGCGAGCTGACTGACCATGTCGGAACTGTCGGCCTCTGCCGTGCTGAAACTGGCCCCTAGAAGGAGCACCCCCAAAACTACCATGTCCTCGAGGCCTCTTAGCCTCCCTCTCCTCGCGCTCCTGACGACAAACTGACTCAATCTCTCGAGAAATATCCACAACCTCCTTGAATGTAGCACCTGACACCCTCTCCCTGGTCATGAGAACCCGAAGCTGGTAGGTGAGGCCATCAACAAACCTCCTGATCCTCTCTTTCTCAGTAGCAACCAGCCAAATAGCATGTCGAGCCAACTCCGAGAACCTCATCTCATACTGGGTAACTGTCATATCCCCCTGTCGAAGTTGCTCGAACTGCGTATGCAGCTCCTCCCTGCGGGACTGTGGGACATACTTCTCCAGAAATAGAGCGGAGAACTGCTGCCAAGTCAGAGGTGCCGAACAACCAGGCCTACGCCTCTCATATGCCTCCCACCAAGTGAAGGAAGCTCCGGTAAACTGAAAGGTCGTGAATGCAACCCCGCTGGTCTCCAGAATACCCGCAGTGCGAAGAATCCTCTG